TTAGCTCCTTGTGGGGCATCCTTTTGCTCAAATATTTGTTGGGAACTGTTTCATGCTTGAAATAGTTAGGTTGGTGGCTCAAATATATTCTCTATGCTGTTGTTCTTATTTGAGATGTACATTGGCTTCATATCTTGATATTTCAAAAACATGTGGGTTGCTCCTTGGCTTGGGTTGGCTCAGTTTTACCTTAAGATGGTTGGGATTTTAATTTCTGTTAAGGCTTGGGTTTTAATTTATGCTTGGACTCTGTCTTGGCTTTGAATGACTTGATTTTAGCTTTCCTTGGAGCTCGGATTTACTTGCTTTGGCTCTTACCCGAGAGCTGGTTTGGTGGATGGGCTCGGTTTTGCTTGTTTGACCTTGTTTTGGCCTTGAATGGCTCGGTTTTTTTTTTGTCTGGTTCTGCTCCTACCCAAGAGGTAGCTTGGGAGCTTGATTTGGTTTGTTCTTAGTCCTACCCGTGAGCTTTTTGGTAGATCATTTGGCTTGGCTTTGGCCCTTGCTGGGCTCGATTTTGGCATCTCGTGAGTGTTTTTTTGGCTTAAATATACATATTGTGGAGGAATTTATTTTGATTTGGAGGAGTTCCATAGCTATTCTTGTTCGAAACATATGGTAGTCTTATATTTTGACGTCTTGAGGGCATAAAGATGTTTTCTACCCTTTTGTTGTGTCCTGGGATTGATTGCTCTTACCCGAGAGGTGGTTTGAGAGTGATTTTGCTGGCTTTAGTTCCTACCCCTACCTGTGAGCTTGCTGGCAATCCCTTGGGGTTGTTTGGCTCCTCCTACACGAAGTGGCTTGGGTGTTGATTGATGAGTCAAGTTTAAATGTATGTATTTGCCCTATCTATAAAGTGAGCTGATTGAAGAATGGGTTGAACAAATTTCCTTATGTTCTACTTGGTGAAATTGGAGTTGGTTTGGAGGCTTTGTGAGGGTTTTTCCATTCACTCTCCTATGTGTATCAAATATCTTCATATAATTGATTTGGTTTGCCTTAGCCGTGAGCCTCCTCTCCTTCTGTGCCTCGGGTTGCCTTGGCCGTGAGCCCCTTTTGGCCTTGGATTGCCTTAGCCGTGAGCCTCATCTTTGCCTTGGCCGTGAGTCACCTGTGGGAGTTTATTCGGGTTTGGAGCTAGGTGGTGCTGATATTGGCTTTTACCCGTGAATTTTCTTGGCTTTACCTCACTTGGGCCGAGGATCTTGGTAGCTGTCTTCCTTTCTCTACCGATACAGGCTGTAGGTCTTACACCTCAGTGCATTGGAAAAATTTCGTGTTTGTTTGATGTGTGAGACCATGAATTAATTTGGGAGTTGGGAGATTTTGATATCAGCTTGTGGTTTGGTGGGATTTGCAAGCCTTATTTGGGAGAGCATTTGGTTCATTTGATTAATCCTACGTCTTTGGGGTTTGAAAAATCAGCGCAAAGTAGCCCTGTGTGTTTGTTAGGAAAGACTTGGGCTCTACTTTCCAGGTCTTTTCGATAGGAGTTTTGAGAACTGATCTATTCTTCTTTTCGGTGTTTTAGATGGATCAGTGCCTCCTTTCTCTCACCTCATTTTTGTTATTTTCTTTCCTTGCTTCTTGGTTCGGTTTTCGACGCTTATGTCCGACGCATAAGTGTCCACGTCTAGCCTTTTGCTATATGTGAAATCATCAAGCAAGGTCGCAAGTAGTTTGTTTTGTGGTGATGATAAAGACATACTGAAGATAGAGCAGAAAGATGTCCTATCCTATAACATCAAGATCCAGGTATTTGATGAACAATAGGATAACGGTATCCTTCACCGACATAAGTCTAACGGGAGTTGGCTCGAACCTCTTCAGGTAGTTGGCAGTCCCACGCCCGACAGCGTAATTGATTTGTGGACAATAAAAAAAAATGTTAAAACTTATTTTAAAAAATATATATATAAAAATATATTTTTCGCTATAAAATAAAATTTGATGATCTTTTTTTTTTGAGACCTATGTGCATGTCAAAAAACATAACTTAAAAAAAACATTTTAAAACTGGTTGTCCACCTGACGAATACTTGTTTAGGCTGGGAAGTAGCCCTCTAGGTGAGGTTCAGGACACACTTCTAGACAAGTGACGGGTTCTATAGGCTCGGGTGACCGAGTAGCCTTCGTGGACCCTCGAGTATATATACATATATCTGAGCCTAGCCCTATATGAGTGCTTGCAGTCACCCTTTGCCTGAACTTTTTGTTTTATCGAAGCTTTGGACAGAGCACTCGTATTTATTTTCTTTTCTTTGAGATTTCTCCTAAATTTTGAGAATCTTTACTTGAGTCTTTCCTGTTGATTTTCTCGAGTTTTCTGTCACGAGTCGTTATCACACTTTTCTTCGGATTTTCTGGACAACGTTTCTTCTAGGCTTTGCTTTTGTGATGCATTTCAGCCTGTTATATTTAAGAAACAGCGGATCTCTCGGGCACACATGTTTGTTTTACATTTACAACACTTCATTTCCCTGTTTATACCTGCTACTGTCCTGTACAAGCATGCTATAATATTCATGTTTCTACCTGCTACTGTTCTTCCTATACAGCATGTTATACTATTCATGTTTTTACCTGCTACTCTACTGTACAACATGTTATACTATTCCTGTTTCTACCTGCTAC